GAGATACCGTGCCACTTATAGACAGATCAAACTTATAACATCCCTGTTTTTGCGTCGGGGGTTAAAAAGAACTTTTGCTACTTCGCCAACATAAATTTCGAATATTTCTTAAGGAACATGATGTATATAAGCGGATAATATTCCCAATAATCACAATTGTACTCGTATATTATATACATAAAAAACGAATTATAACCCACCACGTAGGTACAATTTGAATTTGGTGGTTATTAATCCATACTCATATCAAAAATGCGAGAGTAACTCGGCCTGTGTGAATGTTACGATTTCACTCTTGAACTATTGAAACGATTTTAATAAAATTTGGTACACAAATAGAATGCCGTATGGTAGTTTTTATCGCGAAAAATAGTCTCAAAGGAAAGCTAGTGATAGTATATTGTAAAGCCAGTGTAGGTACTAGTCTTCAAATGCACTAAAAACTCGACTTTAGTTTTCATTATCAGTCTCGAATGACCATACTTACTTTGTAAAAGCAGCACACTAAATGTGGCATCTTCTGTATAATCTGTTTTAATCTATGATATGATTTTCAATTACCCGTTATTTGTTGTTAGACAAGAAGAATACATGCCTACAAATGGTAAAAAATATAATAACAATGAACCGCGTCTAGCTGATAGATATTGATTGCTACACAACAATGCTACTGATAATTAAAGTTCAATTAAAGTACATTACTAAATGACGTTTGCAGTAGTAAGGATGGGACGGAGAAAGAAATGATTTTCTATAACTCTTCTAGGTCTGCATGCAAGAGTTTAGTTTAATTTAGACAATAAATTTCGTGAAGTACTAGCTAGATGGCGTAGTGGAGTGAACTATCGGGAAATATTAAATTTAAAATAAAATTAAATCAGCTGTAACGATTTGACAACCGTACACGCCAGCGTTCAAATAATTTTTTTCTTCTTCCGCACTCACCGCGTCAGATGTAGTTCATTATGAGTTATCTCGAGCTACTCAGTGATCGGAAGGCACGTTGGGCCGTAGGTACCGGCTGCATTTGCAGTCGTTAATACCCTCCAATCCACATTGGGCCAGCGTGGAGGGTCATGACCCATCTTCCTTAACCATCCCTAAGGAAGGCCTGAGCCCCTGCAGTGGGGACGTAAGAGGGCTGATGATGATGATTTCGTGAAGGAAGCCCGAGAGGAACGCCCGTGGGGACGGGTGGATCTCTATATACAAAAGATGGGTCGGGCCCATTAGCGCATCCCTATATATGGGGGTCACGTGAGTGATTCTCATCATATACCATCTCGATTTTGCTCTACCCCAAACACGCAACACACACAACACAGCAGTTCATCAGCCGTTTTTCTGTTCGGCAGTTTTTGCTTGAAAGAGTAACAAATATATACAAACTTTCGTTTATATAATACTTATTAGTAGGAGTAGGATTCTTCCCATCACTAAATGCAGTGTTATTTTTTACAGTCTCGACTACAGATAATTTAATAACGACTCATCTACATAATTATGACGCATGTTATTGGATAATCTAATAATTACTGGTATATTTTTTATATGACCCACCTGTCAATCTGTCGCCTCTTATTGTAACTGTGAATGATTACAATTACGAAACAACACGAACGATAACTGAACACCTACTTTATTCACACGTTGGAATAAATAATTTGCATAAAAAAAATCGCTTCCGCAATGTCTTCAGAAAGGTGAGTTTTATTTTAACGCGTTTTCTGTGTAGCTGCCACTAGAAGTGCTGTGCCAGTTTCCACCTAAAAAAATTATAGCACTCACGGTCAAAGGTAAACGTCAAAATGGACCCACTTTTTGCCCTCTGCTTTATTTGACCTGTGAAAATATAGAAAATTTCATTAATTTCTACATTGACACGTCCGAGAGTTTATCTTGGAGCCTCAGAGATGGCGACACCTTGAAACCAGCGTGCTAATCCCTTCATATTGTGATTGATAGTGTTTTTAAGTAAATAATATATTATCGCTTCTATTGCTTTAATCCCATCAGTTGAATTAATTGAAAAACAATCTGCAATTATAAATTATAACACACACGGTTGAATGTCAGTTTACCACATTATCTCAAATTTCCGCTATTGATTTTGAATTTTACGTTCAATGTTTTAAGATTTAAAATCCAGTGATTTGATAGTTCTGTATAGTCTGACATGCTGTTGACTGTACATTGTACCTCTTTATGTGGCAAATAAATTATTTTTGAAACTGATAAGCAATTTATTTTGGAGCGAAGAATATAAATTATATTTTTTTTCAAATAATACCACTGTACAATGACAATAAAATAACGCTTATCAACTGAAACATTTTTTTTATTGTATAATAATTATTTTATTAACATTATTCGTTGAACTAAAACTTCTTATATTTACAATGCATTCGAATACATAAAAACAAGTAATTAAGGAAAAAGGGTTTTTATCGATACAGAATGTGATGTAAATATTTTCAAAATTACCTATATATAAGATATAAACATTATTAGTTATTATATATATAAAGGAATGTATTTTCTAAGGTGGATATGCACAGTCAAGTATATTATCGAAAGTTATTACTAATAAAATAATTTATAAAATATCAGATCGGTTGTTAAAAAAAAGATTACAATATTTAATACAGCCTCAAAATACTAAGACTACAGTAAAACAAAGAGCTGATCTAATGGTTGTTGTTTATTAGCTAATTTAAATACATTTTTAAAATGAGAAGAAAATAAAACCTAAGAATAAATCAATTAAAGCATAACTCAATAATGATTTTGTGGAAACCAAAACATTCTTCTGCATCATTCTTCATATTACAATTTTTTTCTTATGCTTCATTCTTCATATTACAAATATTTTCTTATGCTTCATTCTTCATATTACAAATTTCAAAAACTATAAATGATACATCATTGCGATTGAACTTAGTGGTTCTTTCAAAAAAATTACACGTAAAGGTATTAAATAATGGCTCTATTATTGATATACATCCACAGGATTAGCTCCATCTATGAAGCAATACAAATCTACTAGCTATTCTATGTTTAAGAACATTAAGGCACATCTTCGTTTCTTTCAACATCACTGGATACACTTACTTACACCATAGGTTGCTTCTCTGCACGATAATAGAAATAATGGATAACTGGCAACTTATATATTAGGTTGGGGAAAAATTATTTTCGCATATAATGTGCATAAACTTGTAATAAAATATTTCTGGCTACACCATTTGTATCTGGCTGGTTTCGGTATCATCAAAAAGTTTGAACTTTAAAGATGATAACTCCGAATCTAAATAAGGAAAATGTGTAATTTACTGTCAAAATGAGGAAATCTAATCAAGAAATTAAAATTTTCAAGCTGCGAAAAAACATTGTAAATATTTGTGAGCCTTTATTACCACTTAATGAAAACGAATCATTTTTTTTTAACTGATAACTGGTGATGAATATGGATCACGTACGACAAGAACGTGCGATAAAGGTCGTGGTCAAAGGTCGGTCAGGCTTCACAGACTGTGGCGAAACCCGGGTTAATTCGCAACAAAGTGATGCTGTGTGTATGGTGGGATCGGAAGGGTATTATTCATTTAAGTTGTTACCGACAGGCAGGACCATCGATTCTGAACTCTACTGAGAACTGATGAGATTAAAGAAAGACATTGAGAAAAAGTGTCACAACTAATCCATAAAATGGGTGTTTTTCATTATGATAACCCCTACACCGCACACATCTTTTGCCACTCAGCAAAAATTAAGTGAGTATGCTGGGAGGTGTTAATGAATCCGCCTTATAATCCTGACCTTACACCTTCAGCAATGGCAAAAAAATATCGAAGAAAATGACACCTGGAAACGGTACCCACTATAAAAAACGTTTTGAATTTTCATATAAAATGCGAAGAAACTTTTACCCCAATATTTTACGTTCTTAAAATAGGTTAAAATGTATGAGGAACTTCTATGATTTATGATATACTGGTATCAAACGTAGGATAAATTTATCCATGCATGCTGCTCAGTCAGTTGACATTTTCATAGTAAAACAATTTATTACCAAAACAAATTTTAGTTCCAATTCCAAACACCAAGCGATCAGAAACTCACAAAAAGTCACTTAACCATACAGCGCTAAATTCACTAAAAATAAAACATGCTTACATTTTAGTGGAGATAAAACCAGTGTAATGGTAATATAATAATATGTAATAAATCTAACAGCTAAAAACTCAGATCTTCAAATTATAGTTACTTTATTTACATGTCAAGGAATACTTGATACATTTGTTGCACAATTATGCAATAAATAATAACAAAACAAAGTAAATCATCTTCCCGCTATAACGTGAGTGGATTTTGCAATCATAAACAAACTTCTTAATATGACAAATAGTTGCCCCCTTCATTTCATCAATGGAACTGTCTTGTATGTTGCGAAGTCTTTCCTTTTGCAAACAGGCTGTTTATTATTGCAATATATTAAAATATTTTGTTATAAAATCACTTCAAATAAAGTGAAACACTCATACATTGGTCAGTCAAACTAAATAACTGTGAAATTATATAATTTAATGACATAATTAACCTGTGATATCGTTTAAAGAATATTAAAGGTCGGTGCTCATTTAACATTTATCAATTTCGATGTTACGCGCCATTTTCTACGCAACAATTTAGGTCATATGCAGGTCCTAAAAGTTTCCGTCAAGTTTTACTTCCTGATACATAACTTGAATAATTATTCATGTTGCCTCTGTTATTAAATGCTCTTCTCAAAACTGTTTGTCCTTATTCATTTTATAATAATATTATATTTCCAAGTAGTTATCATCTAAATAACTATCCAAGACATATTCAGGATTTGGCATTTGATTTTCATCCTTCGTATGCTAATTATAACGTTACTCAATTCACGTGCAATTTAAAGTGTTGTCACTCTATTTAAATAAAAAGAAAAACTCAATTTTTTCACTTGAAAAAACACTTTAAGTAATCAAGTCCCTAAGTTTAGTTTTAAGTAACTTCACTTTTTTATTCACTGCACTTTTATAATTAGCTTTATCCACGTTCTTAACACTCGTCCTACTTTTTAGTCTTTCGTCCAATAGTTGGTAGAAGTTCGGCAACGGCGTATCGACCAACATATTTTGAGATGGGTCCAACTTTGTTTGGTCCGGATGGCGTTGGCACATGTTTTGTATGAAATGGTTGAACATGGCCGTCTCTGTGAACCATTCGAGGAAATACTGATTCTGTTTTGAGGGCACGTTCTTGATGTAAGCTTCTTTCTGTAAAAAATAATATTGAATTCTTAATTTAACTCTGATAGTTTTAAGAACTGGTTGTTTGAAAGGACAGATGGAACATGCTTTTACGCTTTTTCAATATTTAACAGCCATTTTATGCATGTGGTATGTCATTAAATATAAAGAAAAGAATTTGAATACAAAGTAAGGAGAGGAGCAGTCTATATTCTTCTGATTTTTGAGAGGAATACTTCTGACATGGGCAAATAGGTGATCTTTGTAGAACCCAACTCAGTGAGACAAAAGTTGCCAAGAAATTGTGCTGTTATGTACACACGGTGCGTGTCGGGTTACCACAATATGTCAAATTTTGCAATGGATTTGACCTTTACCCTCAATGTTTTGCTTTTAAATGTACTAGGATATCATCAAAAGTAAAGGTTGAAATTGAACAACGTGTGTGAAATTTAAATACGGAATTTAAGTAATTCTGCAAGTGCCGGTCATGGGATGGGTGATCAAAAATCTATTGCTTCGAGCTCCTCCGTGTTTTGAAAGACACCTGAAACTGTTAACATTTTTTAACATCCAACAATCCGCACTAGGTCCACGCGGTGGGTATTATGGCCCCTTCTCGTTATTCGATTCTATAAATAGGGAAATCCATGGACCATGGATATGTCCCAGCAGTGGGATAATAATAAGCTGATGAAAAAACGAAGAAGTGATCAAGTACAAGGACACCATAAACTAATAGAGGCAATGTAATACATGTCAGTACTTACATCGAACAGAATATTCCCTTTGCCCAAATCGCCGTCCTTCACCTCGCCCACGGATAAGTACTTCCAGAAGTCACCTAAAATATCTACGAAAAACCTCAAGAAGGCCTCCGATATCATCACGTTTCTCGTCTTCGTGTCTTCAGATCTGTCCTTGTGTTTACTCGATTCCATCTGCAGGGAAGTCTTGAGGGATTTGTAGCTGGACGTCGGGAGGATCGTGGACTCGTCCCCTTGGTAGTATAACACCTTGGAGGGACCGGTCAGATCGATCAGCATACCCTACAAACGTTAAATTTTCGCAATTAAAAGTCGGAAATATGTTTATCGTTGTACAAAAAATATGGTGAAATTTTACGAACTCGTCTTGTCGCTTCAAAAGGTTGCAAAATCTAAATCTGATCGATAAGAAAGAAGTTCATTACGATAACTTTAAGAGGTAGAAAGCGTTAGCAATGACCTCGTGGAAGGTGATCCCGTGTATGTAGTCCATGTGGCGGGTCCGCAGCAGGCCCGCCAGCAGCGGCAGCGGCGCCTCGAGCACGTCGTGCTGGATGCGCGCGGGCACGGACGAGATCAGCGGCTGCTGCCACACCAGCGGGTACAGCGCCTGCTGCAGCGCCTCCAGGCATCCGGACACCGCGCTGTACACATATACACACATACGGCTAGCATCATCACTTCAGCCGAGAGACGCCCACTGCTGGGCATAGGCCTCCCCCAAAGATCTCCAAAGCGATCGATCCTGCGCCTCCCGCATCCAGCGGCTTCCCGCGACCTTCACCAGATCGTCGGTCCACCTTGTGGGGGGCCTCCCAACACTGCGTCTCCCGGTACGTCCACTCCAGGATCTACCGCCCCAACGGCCGTCAGTCCTGCGAGCGATGTGCCCTGCCCACTGCCATTTGAGGTTCGCAATTCTTTGGACTACGTCGGTGACTTTCGTTCTTCTGCGGATCTCATCATTTCTGATTCGATCTCGCAAGAAACTCCGAGCATAGCCCTTTCCATTGCCCTCTGAGCGACCTTGAGCTTCCTTATGAGGCCCATTATGATCTAATCACTATTATTGATTGTTTATGATTTACTCTTAACAATATTCTAAGCGCAAATCTTTGGAGCGAAACAAACCTAATACAAGTGTTTTTTACTTAAAACTATTTTAAAAAGCTATTTCAATATTTTTAGAATGTTTTATGTTAATAAACAAACATCTTTATTGTATTATTTATATACACAACTATATTCGCTAAGTGCGAATTACTAGGTGGGTGCAACGCAATCTATCGCACCGCTAGCGGTGGCCATAAGTATACCACATTATAAACATGTATTTCTTGCCACTGAATTATAAAATAAAATCAATGAATCTTTTTTTTATTATTTTAAGCTAAATCTTAAAAATGGGATAAAGTCATAAATAAACCGGGCTGAAATATATTTTGAATTTTTCTCAATGAAAATAATTTTTATTTTATCAAAACTAAAATTGTGACCAATTTTGTTATCATTATCATTATTTGTACAAGTATTTTCAAAATACAATGATTACAAGCGATGTTTATATTTGCTCTTATCATTTACATTTTTATTCAGCTGCAATTAAATCAATATTAAAATAAAAGCTCAGTCATACCGATTAAGAGTCCAAATAGATTAATTACCTACTTAAAAAAAACATAGGTATTTTATGGTATCGAAGTGTATACTTTGTATTGTTAGCGATACACACAAACCCGGTTCTCAGAATAATACTCATTTCCATCTATAAACCATTTTTCATTCATTACTAATGAATGATATGAATGATACAAGAATAATTGTATATGTTTACTATTAATTAATGAAACCGTCAAAGACGATTTATTATTATCACACATTTAACATCACAAATAGAAAACAAAAAACTATTTATTTTAATATTATAATGAATTCAATAAAAATAAATTGTTTTTCTCGTGTTATTAATCTAGTTGCAGGTACTCGCCAAATAATATTTGTATCGATCTAGGTCAGGCTGTATAGGCTAGATTCCTTTGCCAGTTATGAAATCAATTATAATAATATTCCATACATATGAACAAGTCTTACCTCAGTTTATCGCCCATGATGACCACCTTCCTCTCCAGCAGAAGTGAACTGAACACCTTGATAACGAGCCCAGCACCTAACGAATCCAGGAGAGTACACAGATTGTCCTCATCCACACGAGGCTCTATTGGTCTTTTTATTGTTTTCGTTCTGAAATTTAAAAAAAAATAGATTTTTATATTAAATGGATAGTGTATAATTATAAATGAACACAGATCATTTTAAGTATAGACAAATAACCAGTGGTCGGAATTAGGTAGAGTTATTCATGTTCTTACACTGATTTCATATAGCGAAAGAATAAAGTGGATATGCCTCAAATACCGAGATTAATTTTAAAGAGCAGAAAAAATCCCGTGATTTTTTAAATAAAAAGTTATTTACTTTTACACATTTTAAACTACTGAACGTTTTGTTATTATTATTTAGTTGTAAGATTGTTGGCCACACGGGATTGTCCATTAGAAATCCCGGGAAGGTCCACATTAATATCAACATTTCGATGCAAGTACATAAATAACTCTACCTAATTCCGACCTCTGCAAATAACATAACAATAAAAGGTGTACCTTTTACATTCCAGGCTCAACATAACCCTCTTCGGTCCGTTGTTGTTTTCCAAGTCCAGAAACTTTGGTATATCACAACTGTCATATTTAAAGGCTTCGTTCACTTCCGAGCCGTCGGCGAGTCGGTCCGAGCCATCGATCGCATTGGAGCTTTCCAACAGTCGCTCGCAACCTTCAGCCAGTTGGCACGAACCGCCCGAGTGATCGTTTTCACTTTGGTTACTCCTCCTCATGTCTGGCATTGTTTTACATTTCATTATATCCAATTGTTGTGAGTGCCTCAAGTTTCTGTCTGTTATAAGGTTGTTTTTGTACGATATAGTGATTTCTTCACCCGGATTCGGGAAGTCGGTTTCGAACAACTGTTGCAGTATAGAATGTATTTCGACCTCTGAGCTGCCGTGGTGGGATTCGATCTCTTGTAATACCTTGAAATAATACATATACATATATATGCAGTAGCTTTTTTATGTTTAAAAGATATCGTACGTACATATATAAGACATCAAAGATTGATTTTATGTCTATGCTTACAAACGGGAATATAAAAAAATCCCAGCAACACGTTTAAATATAATATCAAATTTCCGAAGTTGATTTTGAACTCTACTCTCTGTATATTAAGGTTCCAAATCAATTGGATTTGACAGTTTTGTGTGTAACCTGATGTACTTTATGATTTTTTATATCATGTAATGATTAGAGATGCGCCGAATATTCGTTTGGTATTCGGTATTCGGCATCTGTTTCACTATTTGTATTAGGCCGAATTATTCGGTTTTTGGTGCCGAATATATTCGGTTCGATTATTTATATTTTATTGATTACACAACACTGTATAGAACTCAAAGACAAAAAAACTTTTATTTTAAAGATTTTGTTATATTACAAGACAAAGAAATCCTATAAGAATGTGTTCAATAAACCGAATCATTCGGCTGAATATCTGGTTAGGTAAAGGTTAAACCGAACACTATTCGGTATTCAGTTATTCAGTAAAACCACTGATGTTGTTTATTGATATATTTAAACCAAAGATCAATCAGAATTACTCTAATATCACACCATCGGGCGATTCACTAATATTCACGCGTCTGACTTCCGCTGTGTGGGAATGAGACGGACACCTAATGCGTTGTATTTTACACTTTATGGTTATTGTAACAAGACTCACTATAAAATTAAATATAAAATTAGATTTACTCTGCGTAAAAAAGAGCCGAATTAGAGCCGTATTATTACTAATGTATGTTCCCTTATATACGAGTATGTAACTTAGATACCTTATAGTAAAATCCGGGTGCTCTGTATTTGCCGATGAGACAGTAGCAGAGAGGGAGACAGATGGACGCGCCTTCTGGCAACACTCGACGGCAATATCTAATGTGACAAATAAAATATTTTAAATAAACCGTGTATCAAGGTTCTTTCTGTTTCCGACCATACCATCCGGTCGAGACCATATAGTAGGGACGCGCCCTAATCAATGAAGTTTGGTACATTTAAAGTTTATATGAGGAAGAGTTTATTTATAATATTAGGTAACAAATGCATTACATTAAGAAAAAAATCCATGCGTTTGAACTGTCAAACAATCACGAAAAGAAGCGTCATAAAACCTTAATTAATATTCATTCAAACTTTGAAAATTAATAATTGATTCCGTAAGTTGACTATAGACGAAAAAATGATATATGTGATGTAAGTAATGAAAGAATTATTGATAAAAAAAGTCTACAATATATTAAAAATTATTCAATTACTAATTTTAAATAAATTTCAGATTTAAAAATTATAATTTTGTAACTGCGTGTCACGTGAAATATTAGAAAAACCATGACGTCATCATTAAAATGAAAAGACCGAAGAAAACATTTAAATGACAACATTAACAATAGGTAACGTTACAAGCGGCCGTGTTACATCGCTCACCCGTACGCGCGCTCGCCGCGCTCGTCGGTGAGCACGAGCGAGTAGCACTGCGCGCCGGCCGCGTCCGCGACCCACCCGCCCTCGCCGCCGCCCCCGCCCCCTCCCTCGCCCGCCGTCACGTCGCTCAGCGTCTCCGGGAATATTAGGTTCTCTATGTGAGGCGGGACTTGTACCTACAACACGTAACACTATTTAACTGCGTTCCCGCGAACTAGAGATGCGTCGAATAATGATTTTACCGAATTCGGTTTAAGCTTAACCGTACCGGATATTCGTTCGAATTATTCGGTTTACCCTTTAATTGTTACATTTCTTTTGCTGGATGAATACACTTTGAGCATCATTAGAGTTACCCCAAAAGATAACATAAGAAACGATAATTTGAAGTGGAAAGATTCGGCCGAATACCCAATTCGAAAACTAATATTCGGCGCATCCCTCATTATAACCTAACCTATGTCAACCGCGTATCATGTAGCTTTCTGTATTACTTTTCTTTTTTTTTTCTTATATAATTATTCGATAAATCTAGTTCGCTATCTAAATTGAATTAATGGATGAGTTAATTTGTTTATTGGCATGCAACAATATCATAATGGAAGGTAGCATTAACAACAACAATAGTACATAGTAATATTCAATTACCAGTTTAATATTTTCAATCATATGGTATACAAACGTAAACAATGGTTTACCTATAACATTAGAAAAAAGAGGGTCATAGAAGCAGCAGTGCAGAACATTTTATTTTCAAGATAAAATTAAAAAATCTATATTAGTTTTGTTGAGACTTTGAACGTTAGGTAGTCTGAAAGAGTTGGGCAATTTTCCATTTTTTATGATACCTCGGGGTTGAGATGGGGCCAGCATTTTATATATTCATCTTTTACTCCGAAGCCAACATGGAACTAAAACTGAAACTATCTGTGTGTTTTGATAAATTCTAATTGTAAGTGTAATAAGTTAGACTATTGATGAAGACATTGAAAAAAACTCCCTAAAATGTCAAAGTTTGAGGGTAGGTATGGGGGCCTAGAGCGTAATTTTTGTAGGCCACTCGGGCCTGTACCGACATCGTCCATATTTACCAAAACTTAACAACAAAAATAAAACAATAACATCACGGAAAACGGCTAAACAACAAGAAAAGCAGTAGCATTCACAATGGATGACAATCCCAGATAACGATTTTAACAACTATTAATAAATAATAGTCTGACAAAATTAAAAAGCTGTACTACCGAAACGCTTAAAGGAGTTAGGCAACGTTTTAAATTTGGTAGAGTTATAGTGACATGAGTATCGTGCCGAAACTATCCAACCCTGCTTCTTTAGGTTCTTTACGATGGACACTTTTTATTGTAATACTTATTAAATCATTTAAGTTAGTCATAAACTCATAAATTTGTTTAATAGTAAGCTTAAATGACAACAGTTAAGAATAGTAGCTGATATTTAAGTGAATATGTAGCAAATTAGCCGTCAGTCTTAAAAGTAACATGATTATTGATATTTTGTCACAAAGTATACCATAAAAAGAACCTTATTTCACTTCTGTCTAATGCCATAATATTTTGCCTTTACAATCAACGATATAGTATAGGTGCAGTCCGCTGCACGTGACGTTATACAAATTTGTCAGGTTTGTTCGCGGGTCCAGTGCGGATTGGTAGGTGTCAAAGACTCTGAATGCAGCCGGGACCAGTCACAATAACGTGCCTTCCGATGCACTGCTCAAATAACGTGCCTTCCGATGCACAGAGGAGCTCAACAGATTTATTTTTTGGTCATGCCATCGAGCTTAATTGGATTAATTTATTAAAATGAAATTACCTGACTAGGAAAAACACTTTTGACGTATGCATGTCCAGTCATGTAGTTCAGACCGACCAATAAGCAAACGTTAAATAGCCCCCTCTCCCGAGGCTCGAACGGCAGCTCTATGTCGACACAACCCGTCTTTTCGTCTATGCTCAGCTTGTCCATGCTATCATTGTCGAATTCACTCTTCATAGACAATATGTTCCCTGAGGAATCAGTCAAGTTGAACTTGGAATCTGTACTGTCGCCCATTTTATCTCTGGCCAGATTGGTCCTGGACGTTCGGAAGCTCTTCCAAGACCTGAACGTGTTGTATGGATTATTGTCTACGATCTCAGATTTGTACGAGCAGACCGAAGTTTGGTGACGAAATCTGAGGAAAAAAAATAGTTAATTTAATTATAAATATCATTAAAGTGAAATATAAAGCCGACTTTAGCATTGACCGTGGAATGCGTTGCACCACGCTCGTTATTTGCTTATCAGAAATTTAATATTTAATTATTAATAAACAAGATTTAGCACCCCATCATTTACAAAACCGTATATGGGTGGCAATATGACAAATAAATAATATATGATTAATAGATTTTATTTCTACAAAATGATGAATTTTAATGTCGGGGAACCAAACTAAAATATTCAATGCTACTAATAATTATCAAGATAACAAAACGTCTAAAGATAGTGCAAAAACAAAACGCGAAAATCTTCTTAAAAAACGTTCTGGTCTACGCAGAAGTACTTTAATAATAAAACTATATCTAATAATAAAAGGGTCATCTATTTAAATGGATATTATCGTTTCCTATACATAACAATTAATTCTATTGCCTTTAAAGTACTATTAATACGCTTAATAATCGAATTTAAATTCAAAATAAGATTATATAGAATAGATTCCGTTCTCTTTAATTGAAAACCACACAATATGTCAAAGGGTTGTAGTTTGGATGGTTTTTGAAAAATCGATCACATACATCAACGATGTCAGAAGCGATTCTCAATTAATCGCGAGTTTTTTAAACATGTTCTATAGAATATTATCTGTCGTCATTAACTGCTAATAATAAGTGAGATATGTGATTTAATGATGCGTACCGACTGAGCGAATGAACGTCAAATATATATTCAATATAAAATCTATATATAATATATTATATGAAATACGATCTTTGAATACTTTCATAAATATTTATTTTATTCGTTCAAATTACGAATTGAATACTTGAGAAATAAAAAAATTGAAAGGTAAGATACCACAACCGATTTAAGAAGATTATTGCCAGTTCTGCAGTTGATTCGATGAAAGGTTAACGTATCGATTATTTTGTTTTAAATAATCGATTGGTTGATTTTATTTTGACATGATTATAGCATTAGACAGAATGAAAATAAGGTTCTTTTTATGGTATACTTTGTGACAAAATGTCAACAATCATGTTACTCTTAAGACTAACGGCTAATTTGCTACATATCCACTTAAATACCAGCTGCTATACTTAACCGTAGTCTTTTAAGCTATATATTAAACAAATTTATGAGTATTTGACTGACTTAAAAACATTTAATAATTATTACAATAAAAAGTGTTCATCTTAAAGAACCTAAAGAAGCAGGGTTAGATAGTTTCGGCATGATTCTCATGTCACTATAACTCTACCAAATTTAAAACGTAGCCTAATCCCTTCAAACGTTTCGGCAGTACAGCTTTTTAATCTTGTCAGATTATGATTTCTTCATAATAGTCAAAATATGTAACCTGGGGTTGTCATTCATTGTGAATGCTACTGCCTTTCTTGTTGTTTTGTCATTTTCGGTGATTGAGTAATTACTGTTTCATTGTTGTTTTCTTATAGTTTTGTTTAGGTGCTATCTTAATGTTGTTTAGTTTTGCTAAATTTCGATTCCGGTGCAGGCCCGAGTGAAAAAGCAGGCCCTACAAAAAATACACTCTAAGCCCCCATGCCTACCCTCAACCAATGACATTTCAGGAAGTTTTTCCAATGTCTTTATCAATAGTTTACTAATTACACTTACAATTAGAATTTATCAAAACAACAGATAGATAGTTTCAGTTTTAGTTCCATTTTGGCTTGGGAGTAAAAGATGAATTTATAAAATGCTGGCCTCCGATATATAACCTCGAGGTATCGTAAAAAATGGAAAATTGCCCAGCTCTTTCAGACTACCTTATGTTCAAAGTTTTTAACTAAACTAATATATATATTTTAAAAATATCTTCAAAATAAAATGTTCTGAACTGCTGCTTCTATGACCCTCTTTTTTCTAATGTTATAATGAATGGAGCACTTAATATTAGTCAAAATTCATATTATGAAACAGAGATTTGGCAAAGTTTAACTTAGTACCAGGTTCTACGGGAGTAATATGTACTCCTAGGAGGTAGTAGGTTTGCTTATTCTCTGTATAATATGAATTTAAACTAATACTATAATTGAAATTTTAGCGTACTTTTACTGACGCTAAACCTTGTTGTTAATTTATAGCACTGTAAGTGAACATGGAACCTGTAAAGGATTCGAAACATTTGAAAAATGAAATAGTTTTTCTACAATAAAACTGTAATTAGTATTATATTTCATAATTGTGTATTGTTATAAGCACGCAAGTTCAACCTAATTGACGATTTTTCGGGTATATAGCGTTGCTATGGTTACCCGCTGCGTCCCACCCCCGCACCTCGATTGAGACCCGAAAATGTTGCTATATCACAGTCGCCATTTCAGTATAACTTGCATGCCGTGCATGACACCAAGCAGTTCTATTAATAATGACGTGAGCATGTAATCACCTCGTGGTCTTCTTGGGGTTAGACTGGTCCAAGTACGCAACTCTGGAGGACACTCTTCTCACGTAATTCTTCCTCTTCTCCGTTAAACTCCGCGTAAGTTTTACGGAATCTGAAATGAGAAATGTTAGTACATAGGGTCATTGTGTTACTGTTCGTGTCATGAAAGTTTTACAATCACCGACGTAATATAATAATAATAATATGTACCGACAATATTTGTAAGGCTGGGCGTAATGGCAAAAGAGGAAGCGAGATGAAATTAAAGCGTTTGTTAATAGGGGTGTAAACAACTTTTTTATATATATATATATTTTTTTTAATAAATAGAATTTCCCGCGAAAACGCCACTTCTGTCGTGGCGTCGCTAAGCTTTGACGTCACGGCCCTCTGAAACTAATATCCTTCTATTATGTATATGCATAAGGTTGAACTCTCCAAGTTCTGATGTGAGTAAAAAGGGCGTGACGTCACGCGCTGTTCGCGGTCACGTGACACCGAGTATATAATATTTGATTTTTCATAATTAATTTAAGCAATATTACAAATATAATAAGTGTGATTATCGGTAATAGGTAGGACAGACGACATTTATGACGAATTGAGCGTTAAGAATTAATTAATTACTCGCAAACAATTAACAACCATTGTAAGGTTTCTCAATCGCTCAGCTACAAAATGACTGCCATATTATTAAATTTTTCTTATAAAATTCTTCTGAAAATATGATGTAGAAAACTGTCAGCACATCTGACCCTACTAACTTTAGACCTATATCCGTGCTACGTACGTTTAGTAAGAATCTGAAAAAATCATGCTGGATCAAATACAAACGTACTTTTACAATAATAAGCTTATGAATCGACAACAATTTTGGTTTTACAAGGGGTCGCTCAACAACCGAAGCCGGATGTACGTTCGTGAAAATATTAGTTTGTTTTCTATAAAAAGTAATGTACACAATTTTAATACAAGAAATAAAAATAAATTAACGGTGCCTGTCACTAGACTGCAAAAAGTTAATAACTCATTCAAGGGGCTTTGTGTGCGCTTCTACAATAAGGTCCCAAGCAAAATACAACAATTAGACATCATGCAGTTTAAATCTACTTTTAAAAAAATACTTATTAAAAAAGCTTATTATAAGGTATCCGATTATATAACAGATAAGAACGGTTGGACTTGAGCTGATCCAGCAACTGGATAGGTGATTACTTCTTAACTCATTATCTTGTTTCCATTATTATTAAATGATTATGTTATCATTATAAGACCATTTTTTTTTTCTCTATCTCTGTTTATAATGTATTGATCTGGTAATGACATGGTTTTTGTAAATGTCATTACTCTTATTAGAGCTGGTGAGTTTCTTGCTCGTTCTTCTTATCAGCCAAAAGACGTCCTGAACGAGTGGTAGGGAAAAAATGTTGGACGATTCAAAAGTACTTTTAAGAAGTCTATTTGAATAAAGATTATTTTGACTTTGACTTGACTTTGTCAAATTGTGCAGTCTAAATTATTTAGATTAAGAATCCGACTATATGAGGCCAGCCTAATTAATGAGACGAGATTTTATAGTTATTATAATAATCTAGCGTCCTAGTCGCATTTATTCAATCATACCTTCACTGGTGCCACCGTCTGACTGGTCAGTGGGAAAGCAGCCCGGTTTCCTGTCTTCCATGCTGCACGCCACTGTAACCGTTTCGTAAATCTCGTTCATTAACCGGTTCAACTGTAACAATTCATAAAATATTATTTAAGATTTTATATTTTGTAAAAAAAGTTATATCTTAAAGAATAATGCTTCAAAGATTCAAACGCCTCAAATGTCCAAAGTGGGATTCGAACCGGTAACGAGTTCTCCACCGATTAGTTTAACGTGTTAAACGGTTAGACCAAATTTGTATGATGAATGTTTTCATAATAATGATTCCAATATTATGCATAGATTAACCTGAATGATGAGAAAATGAGTCGACTGACAGGTGACGTGTTTCGAAGCAAAGACGAAATTTGCTCCGTGGTTCGGAGTTACATTCCTATTACTTTCTAATTAAAAGTTACTTAAAGTTATACTTGAAACTGGTATAAATACGGTTTAACTTTCTTAAATACTGGTATAAATTAAACAGAGGTTAACTTTTTACGTAGGGTTTCTAACGTAACCCAAATTTAATATTAATCGGTAAAAGGTTTATTATGTTATTAGGCAATAGGTTAAGTTTGTAAATTTCTTGTTAGATTGAATTTCCTCTCTAGCACCTTAGATGGTTGATATTTTAAGTATGTTTTTTCTACAAGATATTTTATTATTATTATTATTATATTAGAGTCATAAATAACTAAAAGAAGTCCCTGAAACATTTAAAAGAAGCAGCATAATATTGTTTTTTAATGTCATCATTCTTTATGAAATAAAATTCAAAAGACTTATTCTTTTAGATAAAATAATTAATAAAAATAATAAGGAGATATATAACTATTGATATCAGGAATGTATATTTATAAAGTGTACATACAAAAAAATATAAAAGAATCAAGAGAACTTACTATGACATATTAAACATATACTTATATATATAATGTTTTAATAGAATGAATGTAGAAATACCAGGATAACATGAAAGGGTATATACATAAAACTTTGCAAGACCTAATCTAATACAAATCTAAAACAAGGCTCGTATGTTATATGACATTAATAGAAATATGCGGAAAATAGCTATTTCAACATCCTCAAGTTCACTTATACTTATTAGCATAAAATTATGATTTTGTAAAAGACAGTGAAGGCGACATGAATAAACAAAGATTTTCTTTCCCTGTAATAGTACGTACACATATAAAGTATATAAGGTGGACGCGAATATAACCGAGGGAACCATTTTTTTATTTATTTATTTATTTGGACCACCAGTGAAAAATTACAATAAATCTTACATTCAAGATCACATAGTTAAACATACTAAATTGTAAAATTCTATTGAAGGCGGCCACATCATGCTTTCAAAAATACAGTACAGAAGTAAACTCAAATAATCGACAATTTACAACACAAAACCCAACAGTAGCAAAAATATCCCTAAAAACACAACAGGCTACGCATCTCTCAACAATTCCGAGACCGTCGTTCGAAACATATGAAACGAATCATGAAAAATGTCAACAACTCCCGGCAATTTATTGTAAGCATCAGGCAAGCGACACACCGCAGCATGTGCCAATATGTTAGTGCGGGCGAATGGCTTGCCAAAGACTGGTACCGGACAGCGCGGCGGTCTGCGAGGGACCCTAATGTTGATCCCACTTAGAAGCTGAGGGCAATCCACTACACTTCTAACAATCTTGTACAGGAAAGTTAGGTCCAGCATATTCCTCCTTTGAATAAGACTATCCATTTGAAAGTAACGAAGTCTTTCTCTATAGCTACCGCTATTCACATTTAAACCACTTCTAAATGCATTTTATTCCAAAGGTGTAAGTGAAAGTAGCTAGCTACTTACTAAAGAAAAATAATGTTTTATTATTACAAGTCGCTTGTTTTATTTTATTAAAAATGATTACAACTGTTGATATTGACACAGTTCCTTCTACTAGATCACTAAATAATAAAATCAAAATGATAAAATCATCTGTCACCATAGATTTATCACGACACCACCGTATTAATAAGATTGTTATCTAATTTAATAATATACATAGTGACTAGACAGACACAGTAGAATATGAATAACTTTACTTTTATTATAGATATACTAGCTGACCCGGCGAACCTCGTACCGCCTTATACCCGTTTTTAAAAAAAAATCTTATATACAATCCGTCTCATGAATCGTGGAACGCATAAAAAATAGAATCACCAATTTGGTGCAGTCGGAACTGGAATTCGGAAGTTATGCGCGTACGTACATACGTTTCGGCGATTCATTTTTTTCATCGATATTTAATAGCTCGCCCGAGAATTTTCATTTTTCGATAACTCATTAGTTATTTTGCTATAGTGTAAAAGGCAATTTTGATCTACATCACATGCATAACGTATCCAACTTATTTATTTGATTAAGGATCAATACTGTATTCATAAAAATAGGTTCTTCAATAACCCATCATTTTACTGTTTTAAGTACATATACGTAAAAAATGGTTATTGTGGGTTATCCTTGGAATATAGACATATACCATCACGGACTTTTTTGTAGATCTATTAAAGAGGTACAATTACCCCATACAAAGTTTTGTTATAATAACTCAAAAGTTTTTGGCAGCGTTTTCGAGGAAAGCTGCTGATTGCCTCTATTTTTTCCGACATATTGAACTCATATTGTCAGTTTGTACAAAACCTAAACATACTATACACTAAAACCTCCCTCAATAATTGCTCTATCTATTGTTGATAACCGCATGAAAATCCGTCCAGTACTTATCGAGTTTATCGCGAACAGACATACATACAGAAGCGGCGGGGGACTTTGTTTTATAATATGAAGTGATTATTCGTATATACCTATAATATTCAATTGCAAATGATGAGTTCTTTTTTTAGATATTTAGTAATAATAAGAATGAACTATGGGCAACATTTTAGAGAGGAGGATTTGTCATAAAATTATTAAAAATGATCTGAAAACTTAGTAATTTATTATTTTACAGATAATGAAACGGTTAATTTAACATTTTATGTATTTTCTTTATAGATGTTTTATGGTCTAATTTTTGTTTATGTCAAATCGTAAATAGTTTTATGCCTTTAATATCTTTAATCTAACGGTTATGAAACATTCGTACTATGATTACAAAACAATGCGACACGTAATATTTCAGCTGAATGTTCATATGAACTATAATGACATCATTTGTAATCATTTTGTTAATAATTATTGCGTATTAATTATGATAACTTTATCACGTTCATAATCATTGTGAATTTTTCATTTAAATTGTTTTAGCACTCTATTGCCTTATCTTAAGAGTGTTTTTTCTACAATTCCATGTTTTACTGTATAAGAAAGTAAGGTGACCTACAGCACGCTTATAATCTCCTATTATCTCTGCGGTGAGATCAGAAGACTAAAATATTTACAAACCTACTAGTTAGTTTTTTGTTCTACAAATTGTTTTAATATATAAACTTTTATTATATTCTCATTAGTTTTTATTTATCATTTTTGGTCAATCATTATGGCCATATTTTTTTGAAATATATTGTGCTTATATTAATATTTAATAAATAACAAGACAGACTAACACTATGGGACAAACAATTCACTAACTCTCCAAATGGTTATAATGTAATTCATGCAAATAATGGTATTATAAAATTATAAAAAAACGAAATCATAATTCAGTACATTAATATGTTGAATTTGAAAACAAAATGAATCACTGTAATATAAAGTAAACGAATATTTCTATAGATAAAATCATTAAATTATAAAAAAAGCACTGCCATCTCTTCACTTATATTACCTACCTTTAGCTATTTTGTAAAGCTTTTATTTGTAAATAATTTTTGATAGTTTAAATAAGTAAAAAGTCAACACCTTAACATAAAAATCACCTTTGCCTTCCATATTGGACGATTTAACACACCACTGCACAAGTCACCTATTGTCACTGGTTTTTATAAAAAAAAAAACTGAAAAAAGCGAAACACGTTGGTCACGTCAAACGTGCGCTAAATAAAAAAAACTTGGCACGCAAACAGTTTTTATCAATCGGTAAAAAAAAAACTTTTTCATCGAATAAGTCTTTAAGTACAGAATAATGTTTCCTATTACAGAAAGCACGTCCTAAGTAAAGGAGTGATCTATTCTATTTAATCAGTTTATACTTGGTTTATAGATATAATATAATGAGCGAGTCAATCGTCGAAAGGACGCGTTAATGTAGAAAGACACAAGTTTTATTCGAAATATTTCTAGTACAGAAGAATATTCTAAGAAATGGTATCATCAAAATATGTTGACGTAAAATTGTCCTAAACATTGTCAGTCCATAAAGTTATTTAAAATATAAATTATACTAATCTACAATACAATAAAGAGAGAAGACTTCATTGAATAGATTTCGACACTATTGAATCGATTTTAAACATTATTTCACGTACGGGAAGCTACATCATACGTGGGTAACAATGGCGGGTAAACCAGCCGGTAACAAATAATACAATTCTAATGGTTATGATAAAGAACGGTTTCTGTTCTTATGTAATTGATGCTGGGGAGCCAGAAAGTTTCGGATCGAGTTGACAAGGGCTCTGGTACACTACAGCTACAAAAGGGTCGTTAATATAAAATTTTAATAGAATGCGGAATAAGGGCGAAATCCGATGGACTACTGTGGAAGGGGTAGCATAGATTCAGAAATGGAAGAGAATCAAGTCAAAAAGATAGCAAGTAAACCATAATGAATTTAATGGTTTCTTTCGAGATAATATCGTCCAAACATCAGTTTAGGTCATTACTGAATAGAAGAGGGTCGAGAGATAATAATGTATATACATTATAGACATTATTGCGACAGCATCAAGTTGTAAGTATGGTTTCTGGTAAAAAAAAAATCTTTTAAAACGTATTGACTTTATTACATATACATATATAGTTTGTTTTAATACTCTAACAGTAAGATGCACAAACGACAATTTAATTTTTCATTAGTTTAAATCGACATTACCCATACAAATTTGACATTCATTAGAGCTTAAAGGCGTAATTAAACCTTAATGGTTGTTTG